CTACAACTACCTGAAAGGAGGTTGTAGCGAGGGGGCTATCGGTCTCTTCTCCCAAGTAACAAGTGATAGGATGAGAGGAAATGGCCTGAAGTTGTGTATGGGGGGTGTTATTTAGAGTGGACGTTAGGAAAAATTTCTTCACCTTCAAAGGTTTGTCAAGCAGGCTGCCGAGGGAAGCGGTGGAGTCATCATCCCTGGAGAGGTATTTAAAAGACGTGTAGATGTGGCACTTAGGGGCATGGTTTAGTGGTGGACTTCGCAGTGTTGGTTAGTGGTTGGACTCAATGGTCTTAGAGGTCTTTAACAACCTAAATGATTCTATGATTCTACACTGGAAATGAGGATAAAACCAAGATTTGTGTTTCAGTGAAAAAATGCTAAAATTTCCCTCTGGATTTTTGTTTCATGAATCTGCCTCTGCCTGAACAATGAAAGCAGAATTGGCAATGTGAACTGGCGGTGGATTTCTGTTAGGTGTTTGTTTGCACTGTTACTGCAATGAGTCGATGAGTACAGTCTCTGAGTCAAGCTTTGGTAGGAGTCGATTTTTACAGTAGCTAAATGTTGGCCCAGCTACCACCTAACTTGCATGAACTCTAGTATCTGTCAAACACAATTTCTACTTTTTTGCTGTGTCTTACTTTTCAGTTTTGTAAATCTTTCTTATATTAAACTAAAATACATTTTTAGTAAGTGGGATATATTTTTTCATCGAGGGAATTTTTCAGCATCTGATTTTTGTTTACATTGTTACAAGTCAGGCAGGATAACATGGAGATAAGGCAGAGATCCACTTTGTTAATAAATTTTGGAATGTTGATGATGGTAATAGCTTGACAGCTTTTGTATAAAATCTGCATTTTGAAATTACAGCCATTTTGCTGACCTTGAACATGTTCAGATATGTTAAAAGACACAACATGATTAGGATTTCATGGCTGATGGGCATCTGGAAGTACCAGAGTAGGTTTTGCTCAGTTTCAATCACACTGCCTTCATTGTGCTTCACAGCTCTGTCATTTGTTAGTGTTTGAGTCAGCTTGTGCAGCTGTAACTCAGGTATCCTTGTATGCTTGTCTGTCTCATGATGAAGACATACCTGCTGCCTGCAGTATACATGGGTTTCCAGAGGCTACTGAGGCTGACCAAGCCTGCAGCTGTGGGTAGCAGAAGGGCACCACCACTGAGATTCTTCACCAGATCTCATCTGTAGCTTTTAATTTCTGAGATCTCTGTATCCTTTTGCTCAGTGACACAGAAGCCTCCTCTGGCAAACACACTAAATGAGGAAATTAAAGAGAAACTGCCTGAAGATTTACTTTATGAAAATCCAGCGTGGTTATTGGCTGCATAAGCCTGAGCAACAAGCTGGAGAAGAGTAAAAAGCAAACCTGCAGCTGTTTGGGATTAATGACTGTGTAATGCAAACAACATCTTCATGAAAACAAATGAGCTTTAAACAAAACATTGAATACAATATTCATGCGTATTAGTAAAATGAAGAAGTAGGAGTAAGATTTGTGTTTCCTAAGAGCATAAAAAAATCCGACCTAAAAAGAATGTCTGTGATGTCGTGTGTTGTTTAGTCAGGTTTATTAGCTAGCACTAGGCTGTGCTATCAGCTGAAGCAGAAGCTTTTCATCCCTGGATGCTTGAATTATTCTTAATATTTTTCAAAATCTAAATTGGGTCATAAATGTTTTGGCAATTTCAGATTAGCGGCGTAGGGGGTGGAGGGCATTATAAAACACACCATGTGATAGAACAGTTGAGTGCACTGATTACTAGGCTGTGCAAGTAGATAGAGCCAAGTGGGGGGGCACCTTCACATCAGGAATAGGGGTGCTGGCTCTGCAGTGAGGGTAATATCCTGCACAGTGCCCGCCCATGCCGTGCATGACTAGCAGATTATCTCGGTCCTTCATGGGGCCCTGTGTTCACTCAGTGGATATTTCGAAAACATCAGCGAGTCAGGAATCAGCCCTGTTCACTAAACAAAGCCTGGACACTAACAGAACTGGTAAATACCTCCTATATAACTCCCAGGAAGGTCTGTCTATAAAAGGCAAGTGTCCTTGGTGAAGGCCATGCTGCTAAAGAGAAGGGAGAACACAGGAGAAATGCACAGATTGAGCATGAGAGAAAACAACCAGAAAAAGGGTGGCAGGATTGTTCGGTGCCTGTGTCTTTAGATCCGGAACAGATTACATCAGAGTAAAATATTGAGATATGGCAGGGTGAGGGGGGAAATGAACCCCCAAACCAGACATGATGCAAGAAAGCAGGATATTTAGCTCATGTGTTTAGTTAGCATATACTCTGTCTCAGGAGATGAGGTGGACTAAATAAGCTAAGTAAAAAGCCTAAAATAGAAAAGTAACTACAAAAACCCAATCAGAACATAAAAGCAATGATCTTTTAACACTAGTCTGTTTTCTCTCAAGTATTGTCCAGTGTTCATGCATTACAACTTACAGAAAAATACTAACAAGCACAGGCATTGTGAACAATAATTTTAAGATTTCTCTTCATATTAAATACACCTGATTAAGTTAGCTTGCATTATTCTGTCATCCCTGTAGCAGCTGAAACAAATGATTTCATGGAAATACAACAATAAAGCTAGTTTGCATGCATGTATTATCATACAATCTTTTATTGCCCATTCACATTAAGATTTTTTTCAGGGGATCCTCTCCCCTGTTTAAACTACTGTATACTTCTTCTTGACAAAGAAATACTTGTTTCCTCTTATTTTTCCCTCTCTGTACTTTTGTAGTATATGGATGTTTTGTAAGCATATTACAACTGCTTCTAGGCAGATGATAAGATGAAGGTCAGAGTGGCTGTATTTTAGTCTTTACTCATTTTGGATACCGATCTTGAAAAACAAAACAAAACAAAACCAGATCTGTCTTTTAATGAATATTTAACATTCTGTTTCCCTATACACATGGCTACAGCAGTGACTGGTTTGGGCATGTGACATTTTTAACCCTGGAGCTTTTATATGTACTGCACAACAGGTATGCCTTCAGAGCCGAATTGTGTAGATACACAGCATTAAGACATGCAGTTCCACTTGGTGTTTTTAAAGCTATTTTCTCACACGACAAGAATGTTAAGATTCTGAACACCTTGATCCAGTGCTGTTTCCAGAGAAATGTTGCCTGATACTATATATGAGGCTTGTAGTATTTGACCTATTTCATTTGCTTCTGTCCAGTTTTTATAGCTTTGTTCTCTGTGCAAACCTAGTAGTGTATGTTGTTGCCTCTCCCTTTTTCCTAAACTACCTGCTCACTCTTGCCTACTTTTATTATATCCATACCCCCCATATATTCTTGTCATTATATTCTGGTATTCCAGATGCACAGCTTTTTAGCTCTCTCACTTTACTGAAAAGCAAGAAGAGAAAGGTGATTGTAATGAGCCAGCATTGTACATTATCGTGCATTTTTCCATAGCCCATATAAAGTCTTTTCAGGGCAAGAACCACTCAGTTTCTTCAGCAGTGAGTGATGGAGAATCCTCACTGCAGGATGACCTAGAACAGTGACCATGCCCCAAGCTAGAACTGTCAGATCTACATCTGTGCCAGTGGGTATTCAGAGAAAACAGCTGCTAATTTTCAACTCATCTTTTCTGAACAGTGGGGAAAAGTGATTTTTTTAAAAACTAAAGTACTTCATTATATCTGGGAGAGTTTCCACAGGGTTGGATAAGAAATGTTAGAATATTAACATCCACCATGTTGAACTCTTGAGTAGTTGCAATGTGACTCTGCTCCCAGGGGGGCTGGATATACCTGGCACGGGCAGATGGTTTGGTCAGTCCAGTTCTGTAGCTGTGGAAGCAGTGGTGCCACAGTGATAGCTTAAGGCTGATGTTGCCAGATGATGGAGGGTCCAAGCTGCAAACCCAACCCTGTGTAGCCCTGGCTCTCATAGAATGGGGGGATCCCTGGTGAGTTTTTGTCCTCTTAAACCCATGCGCTGTTTGTGGGATTTCCTTTTCCCTCATGCCTCAGGTGTGTAATATTTATTGCATGGCTCTGAGCCACATGAAGATTTAAGACTACTGCTCAAGCGGATAGAAAGGTTGGCCAGCCAGGGGCTGAGCCAACTGCTAAAATTGGCTGAAACAGTTCTAAGGCTGAGCAGACAATAGGTGGCTTTCCTATAATTGTGCTTTGGAATAGAGCTGAATTGGTTCAGCTACAGCTTTCAGAGAATGTGGAAAATCTTAACTAGAAGTGTTCTCTTTAGCAAACACAAAAATAATGAACATGAAGCTTACCATCCAGGAATTAAGGAACAATTACAACCTTTTCTAAAATGGCTGTGGCTTCTGTTGCTGTTATTATTCATTACCAAAATAGCTGTACTGGTTTTTTTTATCGTTTAGACTCACTAACATAGTAGTTAACTTATTGCAGGCATTTAGCTATACATTGTTTTGCTACACAGTCTGCATTGTGCTGCTCAACAATGCTGCAGAAAAAGGTGATGCTTGATATTGTTCAAGCGTATAGTGCCTTCTGAATTGGACTGTGATGAAATTTAATAATTCTAATGTGTCAAACTTTTCTGGAAAGTGTGGGAAATAAAGGAGCTTTTTTACCTCCCAGGATTTATGATGTTTAATTAAGTTATTGTCTTTCTGTAAAATGAAGTTGGAGAGAAGTAGTATAGTACATGCTGAAAATGCTTACTTGTTTGATAGATCAAATGCTGAAATAGTGTTTTGCTTTAGACACTGATAACTCTTGAGCTCTTACAGCATGTTTATTGTTCTTTCCTACCTCCTCTATGTGATATTGTAATGCAGGGTGATTACTGAAGTTCTTATCTGGTAGATTACCCTGTTAACCTGGCCCTCCAGTAAATTGTCATGTTCTAGCAAAAAGGCAGGACATTATGCAAAAGAGCACTTCAGCACACAAATCTGTTCAGCACACAAGTACATTGTGGTTTTCATGTTATTTTACTCTTTTGCAGGATTGCATTGATGTGGGTTGGTGGGAAGGAGAACTCAATGGCAGACGAGGTGTGTTTCCAGATAACTTTGTCAAGCTTCTTCCTTCCGATTTTGAAAAAGAGGTAAGCAATGTATTCTTCCATTTTCACTTTAGAATACAGAATAAGAGTGGAGTTGAAAGAAATTCTCTTTTGGGTATGTGATTTTAACAAAGTTTTAATAACAAAAAATTGTTAAAGGAAGCAAAGTTCTGGGTTACAAAGCATCCATGAAGTAAACATGTGGCAGTCATAATCATGTTACGGAGTTTCTTTAAAGGGTTTGACTGGCCCATCCAGTCAGTCTGCCTACACTACATTGCTCTGAAATCCCTCTATCCTGCATCCTAAGTTTGAAAGAGAGAGAAACTGGACGTCCCAGGATAATTTGCTGAGTCAAGTGAGCAGTGTTAACTCTTCTCCATTGTTTCTGTGGTGGAATATGAAGTTAGCTCACCACCTGTCCCAGAATGAAAAGAGGAAAATTTTAACTGTGAGATTTGAAAAACAACAGTGAGCTTTTGGTATCTCAGAGGCATGTTTCTTTACCTCTCTCAGAATTATTAAAAAAGAAGGTATAAAATCTATGCAGAAGCTTTTTCAGCTTCAATTTATTTGATGAAGATGGCGTTATTATTTGCCAAACAATATCTAGAAATCTTGCAGCTTCCTGAAATAAAGTAATGGATTACTTTCCCCAAAGTCCGTTCCATTTCTAGGAACCTTTTCAGTCATCAGTGGGATATCACAAACTTGCGATCAGACTTTTAATTAGTATTTTACAGTGACAGTGTAAGCCTTCTGTGATAGAACTGAGGCTTACTGACACTCAGCTTCAATGTCTAGCAATAAAATTGGATGCCAGAGGCAAAAATTAAATAACTTGTAAAGCTAACATGATAATTACTGAAAATGAAGGTAGAAGAGCAGCAAAAACTGTGGGAGGTGAAAATGCAGTTCCATAGCAGAGTGGATATCCTGGCTTTAGGCCTAATAATGAAAGAAGGTGATTTTCAGAAGAGGCAGAAATCGTAAACCTTAAGACATAGTGAGCTTATTATAGAAGAAAAAAAAAAATCTTTACTCTTATGCAGTTTTTTTGTGATAAAATGTATTCTGTCTTTTTGAACTTATAAACTGTATCTTTTAGTGTTCTTCAGAGTACTGTGACTATAACTTGTAGAATAAATTCAATGTTCAGATGCTTAGAACTTGAAGCTAGGTTTGCTGTAAATGTGGAGAATAAAACTTTATTAATTTTTTAAATGGCACAGATCTGGACACATGAGTAAGGAACTGGTAGGACTATAGATTGTCTGCTTGAATCAGTGCTAAAAGGGAAGGAAATGGATACTTTTCCAGTGGTTTTGTCAGGTATTTTCTGATGTGATCCATAAGCTTTGGATTCCATCCCATGGCCTGGAAGTATTTGTTGCAGTAGTTCTTCTGCTTGTTGAAGAAAAGCTTGAGATCGTTTCCCATCGCATTATTCAGTCCCCAATTTTCCAATCCTGATCTTTTTCTACACATGGGTATTTGTCCAAGTCCTTTTCTATTCATTGCCTAGTCCCAGTCTCCACCTCTCAGGTGGTCTCAATTACAGAATTTCCCCTGAGCTCACTACCTGAGTCTGAATCAGCATCTGGATTTACTTTCTATCCCTACACCAAATTTCTATATCCAGCTTGTTTTCCTCTCCCCTTTCATTTTTTGTCCTTCTCCATAGTTTTGTTCTCTTCTTGTCCAACCAATCCTGACTTCCTTTCTGTTGGCTTAATTTCTAGTCTGTCTCTGTCACCTTCTCGGTTATCTCATCCAGAGACCCTTGTAATCCTTCCTTCTCCATGTTTCCCTCAGCAGTATTAAGGCTTTTTCGTGCTACCTCCTTTCTGATCTTTGTCTACCTTTTTGAAACAATGTATTTCCCTTATCAGCTTCCAGTTAAAGCCACCTTGTCTAATGAACCATAGGATTCTTTCTCCTTTGTATTTAGCTACGTTAGTGTTTTAGTTTTAATCAGGAGTGGGATTTGTAGTGAGTCTCTCACTTTTCCCTCTGCCCTTTTTTTTTTTTCACCATATATTTCTAAATACATTTGCCATATTTGAGAGAGATCCCTGGGAAGGGTGAGCAGCAAGGGCTCAGCCTTCACAGAAAACTTGCTCCTCGTTAACATTCAGACCAAACTTAAGAGTTCTAGGCTGAACTAATTACTGCAAGCGAGCAAAACAATTGATCTTGAAAGTAGGTGAGCCATTTGGCAGATATATAGAAAATAATAGGGAGGGGAGGATCAACATGGGTTTGATAGAAAATACAAACCTAAATGGTTGGTTGAAGTTTGGCAAAGCTATGTGTATCTGGAAAATCATCTTACAGGTAGGTCCACAGGACTATATACAGTGTTGCATAGCCAGTAAGGTAGTAACAGTGATTGTGATCTATCTGTAGCAAAGGAAATAAAGTCCTTCTCTAGAAAACGTGATAGACATATGAAGAAAACAATTATTAATTTTTACTTTGCCGTTACTCTTTATAATTATACTTCATGGTTTTTTAAGAACAAGACTTAAGGTATGTAATTTGATTTTGTATTCATTTGAAGATGTATATGGTTGATGCCAGTATGGTGTGTGTCCATACACACACATCAGCACAGA